TCTGGGGCCCCTGCGAGACCCGCAGGCGGCCGCCAACATTATAGAGGTAAATTAACCCAAAACGAGAAGGAAAGCTTTTCCTGCTGTCCTCTCCTCGTCTCTGCGCAGCCTCCCCGAGGTTTCTGTCTTGGGGATGTGTTTGCTTTGGAAGGGGAAATGACTGCAAACGGCCCCCCAAAAGAACAGCCCGCTCCCCCACGTGCCACCCTCGGGGATCATCCCCTCCATCGAGCCACCACCGCGTCCCTGCCATGCTCCAGCGCTCCCAGGGCAGGCGGAGGACATGGTCAGACCTATGCTCAGGCAGCACTGAGGTGGCTTCCACCCTAAAGGGAGATGCTCCTTCTCCCATCTCCCTCTGTCCCTCACTCCCTACCCCAAACCCCTCCCGTGGTGGAGCAGGAGCGATGGTGCCACCTCAGCTGGCCAAATCCTGCCGGGTCTGGGGGTTCCACGGTGCAGAGCACCCCAGGAAGGCAGGTGGGAGCTCCTCCGGTCAGCTGTCCCCCGGGATTTGCACACCCCTCCAGACACAGCACCCGAGGGTTTGCTGAAAGATGCTGGGGGAGCTCAGCCACCTTGGCCAGGGAGCTCTGGACCACACTGGGGACATCAGCTTTGGGGGACATCAGGTTTGGGGGACATCGAGGCCACCCTTGCTGCCAGGACCCTCCATGCTCAAGCATCATGGGAAGCCTCCTGGCTCTCAGACCCTGGAGGAAAGGTCTCAAATGCTGTGAGCCATGTCAGAGACAACTCACGGGCCCCAAACCATCCACGGGGACTCAAGATGCCACCACCCATGACACGGAGGAATGGGGGAGATGCCTCAGACTCACTTGGAGGCCTGGATCCACTCCTCATACAGCTCAAACGTCATGAGGGGCTCCGGCAGCTCTCGCAGGTAGGACTTGAGGGCTCCTGTGGCACACAGGGGACATGGGGCTCAGCACCGCAGGAGCCTGACCACCAGGCACCGAGCAGTTTTGCTCCTAGGCATCCTGACTCACATCCCTCCCAGCCTCCCCACCGACACATCCCAAAGCACCTCCAGCTTGGTGGAGCCTGTAGCATCCCCTGACCCCCAGCAACCACCCTGCCACCTCCACCTAGTCCCTCCTCGCACCTCCACCGTTCTTGCCCCCATCAGGCGTTCACCCAGCTCCCCGTCACTCGTTTTTGACTAGGATGTCCACAGCTCCTTGCGCTGGGAAGAGGTTTCCATCGCAGTCAGTAGGAAACCAGGGTCCAACCCTGCACCCACCAGAGCCCAGCCCAGGAAGGGGGCAGCTGACTGGCATTTAAACCCAATTAACGCTCAGTAACAGCTCCGCGGGCTCAGATCTGTGCTTGGAGAGGCTCTTGGCCACAGAAGAGGTAGAGAGAAGATGACAGGCTTGATGACAACACGCAGGAATCTTCCCAACCACTTCTCGCTCCTGCAGAGCCTCTCCTGATCAGCGTCACCCTCATTAGTGTCACCTTCATTAGTGTCACCAGGGGCCCCAGCGCCACTTCGGATCATGATTGCATCCCTGATTTCTTCCTCGCCTGTCACCAAACGTGCTGCTCGAGCCCTTGGCCAGGGAGGGGACGTGTGGGTCAGGGTTTGTGCTCCTCGGTGGACGGCAACCCCTAAACGCCCCCAGTTCTCCCAAGAGCTGTATTTCTGCACCCGCATTTGCCCCCCCGCCATCCCCCATATATTCTGTCTTTGCTGTTCAAAGGCTTTGGGACAAATCACAGAAGGGTTGAGGTGGGAAGGGGCCTCTGGAGGTCACCTGGCCCAACCCCCTGCTCCAGCAGGACCACCAGAGCTGGTTGCCCATGACTATGTCCTGATGGCTCTTGAGCATCTCCAAGAGTGGAGACTCCACCACCACCCTGGGCAACCTGTGCCACTGACAGAGTGCCTCCTGATGTTGAGGGAAACTCCTGCGGTTCAGTTCTTGCCCGCTGCCTCTGGTCCTGGAACTGGGCACAACTGGAAAGAGTTCGGTCTTCTTTGCACCCTCCCTGCAGGCATTTATATCCATTGACGAGATCCCCCTGAGCCTTCTCTGCTCCAGGCTGAACAGTTCCAGCTCCTTTACCATCTCCTCCTAGGAGAGATGCTCCAGGCCCTTCATCACCTTCATGGCCCTTCACTGGAGACTCTCCAGCATGTCCATGTCTCTCCCATAGTGCCCAGCACTGGACCCAGCACTTCAGGCGTGGCCTCACCAGTGCTGAGTAGAGGGGCAGGATCACCTCCCTTGACCTCTGGCATCACCCCTCCCAGTGCAGCCCAGGACACCATTCGCCTTCACGTTGCCAGCCCAGGGTCAGCTTGGTGTCCACCAGGACCCCAGGGCCATCTCTGCCAAGCTGCTCTCCAGCTGGGTGGCCCCAGCATGTCCTGGTGCCTGGGGCTGCTCCTCCCTAGGGCAGGACCTGGCTCTTCCCTCGCTGACCTTCACGAGGTCTCTCCCAACCCATTTCTCCAGCCTGCCCAGGTCCCTCTGGATGGCAGCACAACCCTCTGGTCCATCAGCTGCTCCTCCCAGTTTGGTGTCATCTGCCAGCATGCTGAGGGTGTGCCCTGCCCCACTGCCCACGTCATTAATGAAGACGTTAACCAAGGTCAGACCCAGCATTGACCCCTGGAGTACACCACTAGTTACTGGTCTCCAACTAGACCTCGTGCCACTGATGACCACCCTCCGGGTGCCCACGGTTGGTGCTCGGGGGCTGGGTGGGCCGTCCCGCACACCACCAACCCCTGCCCCGAGGCAGCCTCTACCTGCGATGGCGTGCGGGTCGGCCGAGTACTCCTGCACATCCACCACGCAGCAGTCCAGCGCGGCCTTCAGCTTCTTCAGCTTGGAGGCCGAGGGAGCCACTCGGAAGAGACCCTTCACAGAGGACATGGGGGAGCATCAGACAAGCTTTGGGCTGGGGATGTCCCCAAAGCAGCCCCGTTCCTCGCCCCCGCCCTTGGGGCACCCATGTCCCCTTCCATCATGCCCAGCCGAGGGTGGTCGGAGACGGGACCCACCTCCTCCTGCATGCCGCACTCCAGCAGCATCGTCACGCACGCCTCCACGGGGAAGGCGATCTCCCGCCCGCTGACGGCCAGGTGCTCCTCCAAGGGCTTCCCGAAGGAGGGCTTCTCCATCCACGCCTCTGCGACGGGAGAGGGGGTGAGGGGAGGGCACGGCGGGGACGCTGCCGGACCCGGCATCCCCTCCCTGAAGCCCCTTGGATCACAGCAGTCACGGGCAGCAAAGCTGTCTGCTTGGGTGCTGCCACCACGACGGGACCCCGCACCTCTGTCCCTGGGCGGCTGGGGAAGTGCTTTTTAAAGACAAAATCCAAACAAAATGTTTTCCAGTCATCGCACAGAGGGGCTGGATAACATTTTCCAGGGGGAGCAATCACAGGCAAACCTTTGCAATGTCTCCCCCTTCCTCCGTCAGAGCTCGAGGCAGCAATATTTTGTGAGATGGAGAGAGAAAAATAAAATACAAACCACTCACAGCCCCGCTGCAGTGACGGCAGCACCTCCAGCCCTGCCCGGGGACTGCGCTGCTCTCGGGGCCGTCGCGCGGGGCTTTCCTCGCCCCGGGTCCCCCAGCCCAGCTCCTGCCC